AAACAATTACTAATTTATCCAAATCTTTCAGCAAAAAAAATATTCCGTCCAATTTCTTAATTGTGAATAGTACGTGAAGATTATCCCCTGTCAGTGTCTGTATTGAATGCACAGCACTGTACTGTGATTAGATTAATATCGACCTTCTCATCCGTTTGTGGGTTTCACCACAAATAAGTATCATTTTCCCCCAAATTGTGTTATTCAATACATCCACTGACAGTGTTCCACCATGACAGGTGCACCACAAGCCTGTCAACTGAGAAACCTTAACACTCCAGTGAAAAACATTTGTTAAAGACATCAAATCGATAGATGCTTGTGGGTCAAACAGTGAGCAACCGAAGCCTGATATCCCATCAGCATAAACGCTTAGCTGACACAAAGTGTATTAGCAGCAGTTTGCTTCAGCTGCAAAGTCATCACTATGGTGCGCACGGCCCTCGGAGCATGTCTCAGCCAGGAAAGCCTTGAGGAGGCAGGTGACATCAAGATGCCAGTAAAAAGCAGTTGACTCAATAAGGGTGGTGCAGGCGGTGCATGAAACAAACTCATCACACCATGATGGGCACAGACATGTTTGAATAAAGAAAAAGCTAAAGAGGAGAATAGAATTGTGCAGAGTGTGAGTCAGAAGACACAGTTGCACTTTTCACAGTCCAACAGGTGAGCCCACATGCCATGCTGCTGTTTTTTTAATCATTAAGCAGCCTAATAACTTCCAGTCTGTCGGACCAGACGACGAGCCCTGTGGGTTGTCTCCCTATCATTCTTCTCTGGATACTACAGGCTGAGAGGGAACAATAATGACACAGCCTGTTGGCTGCTAACTGGCTTCAGTGGAGCCTAACACCCCCTCCTCTCGCTCCCTCTCTGTTCTCAGCACAGTGGAAGAGGCAGGTCACCACAGCTCTGTGGGCCAGGGTAACCCCAGAAAAGAAAAACAATGGGATAACAGGGAGGATATCGTGCTCTGGCAGTTGGCAGGTTTTCACATCTTTTCCAGCAGACAATGTGAGACTCAGAGAGACTCTTTGTTGTGGGGTTAGGTCACTGTTATCCTATGCTTCAGCAAAGAAACCTTCTCATTCCTATTGATTGTATCTGTGTAACTTTTGATGAAATGTTGCGATGAGAAAATGTTTTTGCAGGGCACGTCAATGCTGAGTGAAAAACAAAGATTTTTTAAGTATGTGTGCATGACAACACTCTTTCTGTAAAGGCTCTGGGTCAGACTCATTCCTGTAAAGGGTACATCATGCACATACTTTAGCTTCTCCTGCATGAGCTTCATTTGCCGACAAATTCTACAACAGCTTCTGACTCAGGCATGTGACACAGATATGTAAAACACTTCTTCAGTCTTAACATCAGGTGTAATGCAAAGTGATCTTCATCAAGAGGGAAAGCTCATCCAACCAGTCTATGAAACTAAGTGAAGTGAAAAAGACACAGGTCAGCCTTTTTATTTCTTACAGTCTGGTGAAAATATCTGCACTTAACCTCACTGACAAGTGTATATATAAAATGTTTCAGGGTGCTACCTGATGTGATGCAACTGCTTATTTCATCTGACAAAAAGTCAAAGAAACCAAATGTGTCTCATCTATACTGAAAGCATCAAATGAAGAATTAAACCCAAACTGACAGTGTAAATTATCACATGAACAAACTTTAGTGCAGAACCTCAAATGAGAGGAACCATCTTTAAGAAAAATGTATTCAATCCATTCACTAACATGGAGGAGGCAGGATTTGTAACATATTCTGCCTGCAGCCAGCCATCAGGTGGCGATCAAGCCACTTTGACTTCACTTTTGGGGAGCTGTCACGTCGTCCGTCGTCCGTCGTCCGTATTTATATACAGTCGATGCAACAGAAAAAAAACACCCCTCTCTGCCAGCAAACACAAAACCAACTGTAGAACAAATGCTTTACCTATCCCACGCCAACTTTATCTGGATTCAAATCTGCATACAAGTCATTGAAGCACTTATGGTTACCTGTGTAGGACATTATTGTCAAACGCACTGTGACAATGACCATCTGTGCGACAAGAGCTGCATAGTATTAGCATAGTATATTTCAAGATAGCTGCAAGCCATCTGCCAGAGGGGATTTTAGAATGAAGAGCTACGTATAGTCAGTTTATTAGTGATAAACTGAGCTATCTTTTAGGTCACAATTAAATGATTTATTTTTGTCATTATATGAACAGACCAGTTTTACAATGTGTCAAAAAGTCACAGCCTTTGGCAGAAGTTGAATTAAGTGAAAATATGGCTTTGCTATGCTTTTTGGAGCACTAGCAAGCAGACAGACGGCCAATTATCCAGATAAATAACATCAGACCGCCCCTGCATTCCCTCCATCCACACATCTAATAAAACTGTTTTTCACTCCCTAATGGAAATCACATTGGTTTATTGAGTCAGCAAACTTTGACAGATTTCTCCCTGTCATGACAACCCAGATTCCTGTTTTTACAGAGACGTCAGTAAAGTCATTCAACTGTGATTGCGATGAGTCTATAAATTTACAGTGACATGCGCAGAATCAAAAAATGTGCTCTATATCCTTTGACTATGTTAAGCCTTTAAGACTTAGAAACAGATTCTCCAGGAAATAGACCAGTCCCTGCCAGTTGCATTTTTCTACATTAGGCAAGATCTCTTCAGTATTTGGGAAGTCTGAGGACCTTGAAACTGAGCAAAAGAAAAAATAAATAAATGACCTATTGTCACGAACTGAATACAGTGCTGGGTCACAAACTGGTGCCACAGTATCACACTGATGGCAGAGACACAGAGAAGCCACTATAGAAGCAATGTTACGTCAGTATCAGTTACTCAGAGCCTCACACACGCGCTCACTATGACCCAATGTCACTGCAGCATGCACACACACACACGCACATACACGCAAAACTACAGAAGAAAAGAGAAGCTGCCGATCTGCAGTTGAAGGGGAAACTTACTAAAGGATGATTAATGCTGAGGAAACATATACCTCTAAATCACTTTCTGTGCCAGAAAATAATATTTCACTTCGACGGACATTTTATACATGAATACCAATATTGAATAAGGTCACACTCTAAATAAGCATTAATCAAACTAAAACATGTGGAGTAGTCTGACCTAAGTCACAGTATGGGTTTATACTGTGTACCAGACATTACAAAATAGAAAAACAATCATAAGCAATGGCTGTGCACTTGTGTAATCACACATGAGGAAAGCTGCGCTGCACTCAAATTGTAAACAAACCTCCTCATCGTCTAATCTAGTTTGAGGTTTGAGTCACTTGAAAACACCTGTCCATCAAACTGCTGTGCCCGCAATAACGACAACACACCCCCTACACACAGGGACGTGACAGATTATTGCTTTCTCAAACGAAAAAATGTCAAAGGTCAAGTTTAAGACATGCAGGCTTCTTTGAAATCTTGCGACATTCTCCTTTAAAGCCGCTTCTTTACAGAAGCAATCTGGGTTCAATTTAATGCTTCCACGCCATTTAACTGGGTATTCAGCAGGCTGTGGAATTGGTTTGAGAGGGTGAGGGGGGGGTGCACAGGCAGGAAATCCGACCTCACTGTATTCCATGTGACCGCCTGCTCCAAGAATCCGGGAGCAACATTCCCCTGATTCATCCTCCAAAAACCGTGGGGAGGGGTTCCTCCTCAGTTTAGTATTGCCAGTGAGTAGTGAGAAACCTGACAGTAATCTGTAGCCATGATCTTCCATGCACACATATAGGCTTAGACAATACTTATTTCTCTCTTTTTGGATGAGAACTCGGGGAGATGACTGGAAAAGTCCCAATCAGGCTTCTGGTCAAAGTTAATAACAAGTTCTTTCTCTGTGTCAGACCAGTATGAAGTAACAAAATGGTAAGTGACAGCTAGAGCTTTACCTTCGCCCTAGATTTTGGCTAAGCCAGGTAATGTGACATCTTTTCCTATTTATACTATAAAAGCCTCAAAACAACTTATTACAAAAAAGAGGGGTTGACAAATACATACAGCATTGTATGTGGGAAACATTGCCGTCTACAAAGCCAGAACACGAGTCACAAACGAGCACATGATCATCTTTGTGCCGGGGAGCTTGATATAATCCTTCCACCTCTCAAGCAAAATCGTAAAAACCACGTCATACAGTAAATGATGTGCTGAGCTGCAGCGCAAGACTGCATTGAGGGAATAAAGGCACCGTACAGCCCAGAGGAAGATGTCCCACTGTGGCCTAATAGTTTCCTGGCAGTAGCCGTCCTTCAAAGAACAACCAGGATAGTGTTTGAGCTGACAGGGACCAATGGAGGAGGGCTTGAGAGTAGTAACCAGTAATGAAAAGCAGAGGTGGAAATGACTCCATCCACACTCAGCCCATGGAGACAAAGCCCTAAATAAAATATCATGCTGTTACCCAGGAGCTCCCTTTCATCAAACAGGGGAAGTAGCAAGGTCACAAAAATACTTGTGTATTGCCTGTTACACAAATAGTTTGTTTATTTGTTTTGAGTCTTACCAGGAGTTCATCCATGCTGGTCTGGCACTTCTCGAGGTTGATACGTTTGATGGCCACCTTCTCTTTGCGGGGTAAACAGTAGGCTGCTTGAACCACCGCTGTGGCTCCACTCCCTAAAACAGACAAACAACATAAGATCACATTAGTTATCATTCAATGTATTCATGTTATGCTGCTTTCAGAGATGCACTAAGCTAGGTCATTCTCCTGAAATAATCCAGAGGGTTTGTATGTGAGAACGCAAATGTCCGAGTGAGTTGCTCCAGACATTTTCCAGCATTCTTCCTGCCAGCCTCCTGGTAAAATGTCTGGAGAATAAGTCTGTGAGAGAATACAGCGGAATATGTCTGGAAAATTCACCCCGAGCGAGTGGGCGCGTTGTCGATGTCTACACTGTTCAACAATAAGCAGAATTTACACGTCATGTCCTCCTGCATGCTCTACTGATACGCCGACTCTTAATTGAGAATATTTGATATTGTTCTGTTGCTGTGAACATGTCTGACCCAGACAATCTCTTGCTGTGTTTATCATACGTGAAAGGCAAACTCTGGAAAATTCCCAAAACCAATCTTTTGGGTATTATCCAGTGTTTATGTCTGAAAATGGCTTAAGTCATCTCACGACATGCAAAACTTATCTGCCATTGAAGAACCCAACTTTGGCACATTGAGCTCATTCATTTCACGCTTTGTTCTCATCCTCTGGCTTCTTTCAGTCATATGTCCGTTCCTTGACCCTTATCTTCATCCAAAAATCATGGCTTCTGCAGCATCTTAACTCCAGCTTTTATCTATTACCTAACAATCCCCCAGAGTTCAAGAAGGTTAAACTGAGTTCTGTTTGAACAATTCATCTGATTTCTCTGCAGCTTATCTATCTGTTCATCAATTATGAATCTGCTTTCCCAAATCCCGGCTGATGGCACAGGTCTGACCAGTGACTCTGCTAAACTGGATGACCCCAAAGCTTGGGACCGTACGTCATTTAGAAATGTCTCCTCTTTTGGATCTCATATCTTTGGCATATTCACAATTTGATGTTAGATGAACAGGTAATATATGCAATGTTTCAAAAGTGGTTTGGCCCTGAAGGCGATCTAAAAATAAGGAATAAAAAGAAAAACTGGAGTTTCCAAGTTATAATACCTGTAGTATTGGAGTATGCACAACTGAATAGTGTTACTGTTCAATTATTTTCCAAATGGGAATTTTATGCACTGTCTCATTTTCCATAAGACTTAACAGAGCATAGAGTTGAGTTGATAACAGTAACAGTTGGAAGTCAAAGCTAGTTTAAACCACCACAACAAATATTTTTGATTTACTAGCAAACGAAACATAGATTATACTCTGATTATACTCTGATTGTACTCCTAAATTTAAGCCTTCGGGATAATCTCTGTTAAGAATGTGAGAGAACATTTTGTAATATCACACCATCTACGACACCTGTGTGTCCAACCAAACCTTCAAATCTTCAAACACACACACACACGGTGAAAGCAACACCAGCCCCTCTGTTGTGGTGGGTAAACGTGGTAGCCTGACTAAAAGCTTGTTAAAATCCTCCCCCTGTAAAGGAGGTACGCCTGTTGTTCCTGCATTGTGAGAGGTCATGTCACAAACCCCCAGAGCTCTCATTTACCGCAGTGCACACACACACGGCTGTTTCGCTGAGATCTCTGGTGCATACATGAAGCTGAGCAATGCTGCGAGCACATTCTCCTCTGGCAACAGGCGTCAGTGAGAGAAAAGTGTGAGCGCTGAGTCGGTCCACCCTCCAGTAAGCTTTTCCTAACCTCCCATGCCCTCATCTTAGCTATGCCCAAATATTAACAAAGTGCTCATTGTTTGGAGTTTTCCTTGAGCCTGCAGTGTATGGAGGTTTGAATAACGGGTCTATATTGAAGAAGAAAAAAACACTGATTTTAATTAAAAAGAAAAGCTTTCCCTGTAGATGTGACCAGCTTTTATTTAAATGTTTTCATTCAAGATAATTATATCCTCAGGCTGTGTAAACCAATTCAATATAGCAGGGACTAAGATTAACTATAAACTCTTACTCTTTTAAAATGTCCAATAAAATTGCAATTTCCTTGTAATTTCCTGCAATTTAAAGATAGTCAGGGGTCACTGTCATCGGCGTACATGCAAAAGTCTACTTCTAAATGCTGTAATGAGTGCCATGTAATGAATGGCAACCTATGATAAAGTGTGGTTGGCCTTGCTCAATTCTCCAGCATCCAAGTTATCATGGCTCATTCAGCTGTTGCTCAATATTAAGAGGCTGAACAGGGCAGTAAATATATCCTGCGACTCCCTCGCGCATGCAAAACCACCGATACCAGATGAACCTCTGGAGACTCAACAGTGATGCTGGAGTTCAGGACCACAGGGGGCCAGTTTCCCTGTACATGTTGGAGTGTAAATTCTTCCACACAAACAAACATGCAGTAGTCATGGGTGGCTGGACAGGCTAGAAAGCATGTGTGTTCTTGTATGTGTGTGTGGAGAGGATGGAAAAAGGGGGATGTTGGGTTTTCAGAAGGCAGGGTCAGAGGGCGCAGAGGCTCTGTAAGTCATTTGGACCTGTAGAGGCTCAATCACGCAGCCAGCTGGGACCTTGAGTTAACATAGACTTCCTTCCAAGCTCAGCACAAGGTTATTCTGCTCAGAGTAGTACTGCCTCTTCTGTTTGTATCCAGTTACATGATTATTCCAATACTTCAACAGGCCTTTGAGGTTCCAATCACAGCTGTGTAGTGAGTAATTATACAATGATGCACACAGCCCCATTCCTGTCATCACATTCACTGACGCTGGCCTCACTATGAAGGCACTGAAAGGCTTAAGACTCAAAAATGTCAGATGTTAATAAAATAAGTGACATAGCGTCGCATCTCTATCATTCACAGAGATAACATCACCACCATCCTCTCAGAATGAGAGGACGCACAAAAACAGACATCTACACAAATGGAGAGCACTGGGCTTTGAAAACATCTAATCTGCTAAACAGTCTGGCACAGGCATAAAGGCTGCATATCAAGGGATAGTGTGTGTGTGTGTGTGTGTGTGTGTGTGTGTGTGTGTGTGTGTGTGTGTGTGTGTGTTTTTTAAATGTAGGAGTCAAAAAAACGATTGTTTAACCATACAATTAAGAACATTAAAAAAGAGCTTCAAAGTTCTTCGGCTGACAGCTTTCTATTTCCAGAGGCACAACAACATTTAGCTTGTTTTGGATGTGCACGGCTTAATCAAATCTATATATTGAGTTACCACATTAGGCAAAATCTAATGAAGATGATCCAGCTGAAAATGTGGCGTGATGACAGGGACGAGGGCATGAGTCATGTAGACTGTGTTGGTTTGCCGATCTTCATTTGTTTCCATGTTTGGTTTCTTTTCTTTTTTCCATTTCCATTTCATTTTTTCATTATGTTGTTAACATTTCAAAATTAACTTTTGAATGCCAGCAACACCAAAAAAAAACATTTTCTTAAGAGAAAAAGCACAAATAATTAAATTTTGTTTTCTATAATTAACATATATACATATACCAGCAATTAGCCAAGAGCTTTTACTACTCCCAATAACTTTCAAAGAGCAAGTCATGCATTCATTGTCCTGATTCATCTGTTCTGGGCTAGTTTAGATTTCACTCAGTATTTTGTGTTTAAATATGGCTTCATTTGAGCTCATTAACTGACCTGACATTTACTTTGGCGGTGCTGAGTGTGCAACAATCAGCTCCAGCTGTAGACGTAAAGGCCTCTGCTCGCTAGTGAAAAAAGTTGCAGACGGCGTGAAACAACTTGATCACTTCTGAGCGAGAAAATATTGACAAAACAATCATGATCTTTGAAAAAGGTAGCTGGTGTTTTCTGTAAGCATGTTTCCTCCAAACAAGTCCATCTTGGGAAATTGTACGATTATTATACTGTAACCTGGCAGTGAGTGAATGGGACATGCACGACTGGCACTTTGTCTTCACAGTGGACTTAAGCGTTCAAGCTTCTTTACAAAAGCAAGGGCATGCCTTTAGCCCGTAAGCTGAAGAAAAGCTCTCCCTGAGATCAAGACAGAACATTCACTGTTCCGGGTGTATGTAGTGTATAATAATATTTCAGATCAGATTAGCTTGGCCTTGAATTAGCTTCTCAGTGGAGCAGGTCACTGTGTGAGGCCTGTGTCAATGTCTTCCCTCATGAGCTGTGACCAGCAGCGTGGCAGTGGCTCTCAGTTTGTCTTTCCTGGCCAGTTCGCAGCCTGACGTCACTCGTCTGTTATTACATTTCCTCTGCATACCTTACTAACATTCCACACATTATTCAAAGGTACAATGAGAAATGTAACACATGACTAGCAATCGAACAACCAGACAGTGCCTCTTAGTGTCCCCCCTGCCCCAAACATTTCACAGGATGTAATATTCTGAAGATGAACGAGGCCCAAACATTGAAGTTGACATTAAATTACACAAATATTGGCCTAAGGGTTTTCTCCTGTTTCCTCGAAGATGATCATACTGACGTCTTCAATAACCATCTGAGGGACAAGCAACAGGGAGGAAACATGGTTGCCAGTGGTTACAAACAGTGGGAGCAGAAACTTTCCAGTCCAGATGTGCCAACACGAATGATCCAAAATCAGAGAGAGAGAGAGAGAGAGAGCTGTACTTTACTGTTTTTTATCATGGGCTCTGTCCAGAATGATCCGATGCTCACTGGGACGAAAAGAGTGGGTGTGAACCATGTAATAACAAGTCCTCTTTCCCTGGGGAAGTTACCAAAACAATATCTCTGCTGGACATGCTGGGTATACAGGGTCATCCTCTCCACACCAGCCTTCCAGCAGAGCAGGAGGGCTGCAGAATGAAACAGCGTATACAGTATCTCCCCCAAAGGACGGTCTGAGTGCTTACACAACCTTCTAGTAACCTGTGTGAATGTCCTGTACTGTACGTGGTATTGGAATATTAGCATGAGGTGAGGAAAATTACTGATTTGATATAATCCAGTCTTCTGATTCCATCAGTGATGTCATAAGCAGTTAAAACATAAATAACACTGCAAGTCTAAAAAGAAGGGCAAAGCATTGTTCCTGTTTCTGCTGCAATCAGACAGATTCAAACTAAAAGTCTCTTGATATGAATGTCTAAGAACAGTCGGCTGTAATAATCTGGTATGTGTTAAGCCACCCACCTCCTTGAATAAACACAAGAGCCCACCCTGACTGATTGTGCAACTTTGACCATATGCAATTCAAAATATGACCACACACTTCTACAAGTGGTAAATGTGTTCTACAGGCAAATGTGAAGCCTGAGGAAAACTCAGATTCCATTCAGTGTGCTGACCACTCTACATGATAGGAAAGAAAAGCTCTTCAATGTTCATTTACTGCATGTAAAGGGCCTGAAAGATGTGATTGCAGCAACTTGATTTTTAAACTTTTTAAAAGTTAGCTAAAAATATTATAGTCAAGCAAACACTGTCTGAGAGGGCAGAAGAAAGGAAAAAGCTCTGTGAGACTGAAGGCAAGGTTTAACAGAAGCAGATGCCAAATAGGTTTCTTTGTTCATGAGAACTCGAGGGACAAAGGCTCACGCATGAGGGCTCTGCTAATTTAGAGGATAAACAAGGTAGATCAGCTCCCTCAGATTTAGGTAATATATAAAATCAGGGGGGAAGAAAGTCGGCTAACTACACAATTCACTTCAACAGCTAAGTTGATGATCGTGATCCCTTTCCTCGGCCACAAGTTAGCAGGTAAGTACTGCTGCAGCCCAGCCTTGAAATAGCCTGACCAGTTTTAAAACCTATGTTGACAATTTGTGTCACAGCCTGCGTAGGAAAATGCGAGGAGAAGGCATCTGCACAAGAGGCGCTTTATCTCTGTGTGCACGCCCGATTGCAGGGCGTCATCTTGTGGGGTGCCCAGGTTCAACTTTTCTAAGAAAACATGGGGAAATGTAGAAATGGGTAAAAGTTAAATTTGAGTATTTTAAAAATACACATGAAGGTTAATTTAGGGCCCACAGAATGGGTCCTCTATAAACACACAGATTCCCTGTAGAGGAAGCACACACCACTTGGGTAAAGTAAACCAGAGGCACAAACTAAGTGATTTGAGAGGACAATACTCTTATTATACGTTTACACACTCCTTCTTATTCTGCTGCTCCTTCCTCAAAAATAAATTCAGCCAAAGGTAGTAGGGGATCGGCTATTTATGGGGTGGGACGTTTCACAACTTCACAAGCAGAGAGCTGTCAGTTCTCTGGCTGGTCAGCCTGTAAGACATTATCAGGACTCTCCACGGTTTGACACTACACAGGAAATGTGCAATATGCCTCCTGTCACATGGAAAACGGAGAAGTCCTGAGATGCAGATCCTTAAGATTCAAAAAGTCATATAACCTAAAAGCAATCAACATCCAAGTTCACTCCTATGCAAGGTGAAATAAGGCAGTATTGATGAGCATTATCGGATTAATTATTACATTCGTTTTTTCAGAAGCAACATAATACAGGTTAATCCCCAAAGAGAATGTGTTAATGGATTAATTCAGGCAGTAAATTGCCCGTCAAACACTGAGGGATATAATCTCTGAACTCAATGGTGACACTGCTGTTTTGGAAAAACATGTTCATGAATATCTATGTGATTTATTTGGAAATGGGCGTGGACGCACACAATACAAATCTAATAATAACATTTGTGTTTTCCTGCAGTAAAGTTACGTGGTTCATTCACTTGCAATGCAAAGTAGTCCTTAAAAATGAGCTCACTTTGAGAAATGTCTGTTTTTGGTGCCGCTTTATGTTTAAACTACTGACACCAGCGTATTCATAAAAGATCGAATGAATAGTCTTGCAATGGAATTCCACAGATTAGACGGCCTCTTTGCTTAAACGCACACGTGAGAAAGTATAGAGTTCGCCGTTCACTGCTTCTTCTCCAGAAAATAGTCCGAGCCGAACCAGTCAGTAACACTGCAGCGCTCGTTTACGTCTCCGGCACAGCCCCGGCGGACGGAGTAACCGGCTCCACAACTGAGTGCAAGTCACAACACCGCCCGGGTGGGATTTCCAAGTTGCCGAACGCGATGAACTCAACGCGGCTCGGCAGAGAGAAGATGCCTCCTGCTCTCTGTTCGTTAACTTGAAACACATCGCAGCTCGCACCAGCTGCGGTGAAACCCTCCATGTTGTAGCCACACGCACACAGCCGAATCACACACACACACGTTGAGCTAAACAGGCTAACGATCACATACCAATCACCTCGTGTAGCTCGTAGTCATCTTTGTTGATGGACCAGGACTGGGAGCTCGCGTCCTCCGACATGGCTGAGGGATGCGCTGCGGGGGGAGGCCGCGCTATCTGCGGAGAGCTGCTGGTTCCAGAGACGGGGCGGAGGGAGAAGTCGAAGTAATCCAGAAAGGACCGAGCAGGGCGACACTTCCCCTTCTTCTCGAATCCCGCAGCGCTCCTGTCATTCCCAAAGTTTGACACCAGCCGAGCGGCCCCGCCTACCGCATTCCTGCCGAGCGAATGTGGACCTTCCCGGCGGACATGTTGAGCGTGGACCGCGTGAGCGCCGGAAACCGCTGGAGGAAATTGCTATCGACGTTAGCTTGTGGCTAACGAGGAGCCGGGAAAACACATAGAAACGAGCCGTGCTGGTTAAAACGCTGCGCTGCGCAAAACTGCTCTTACTACTGTTAATGCTCATACACGCTGTGGTGCTCTCAATTAGATCTGACACTTTAAAATGTGTTTATTAATGAGACAAAACGAATCAGACCGTTTTGTTCCGCCACACCATCAATGGCGGACTGTCATTGTGTTGTGTGCCTTTGCCCTAAGTCTTGACTCGCAGGTATAAATTCTTCTCACGGCGCAATAAAACCGACCTTTTTTCCGCGGCTCTACTCAACACACGTTCCCGTGTTTTAATATAGAGACAACAGCCATATTATAATGTCTTATTTCTCATTTATCAAGATAGAACCGTTGCCTGAAAGACAAAATATTGGGTCGACGTTATTCCAACGGCACATCGTCTGGAAAAGGGCGTGTTGCAGTCCAAGGGCATCCTGTCTCCTGATTGGACAGCACCACGCATACCGCTCAGTGATTGGATGTTCGCGTGTTAATTGTAAAAGAGCGTCTTTATTGCAGCGTTCAATTAGCGACACCTCTGGCGGTGGATTTTATTACACGCAAGACTTGCGCAATCACGACACACACTGGAGGACCACAGGAACTGCTCTGCTTCTGCTGAGTGATTTATCATTTTATAAATTATAATTCATGACCAGTGCCCTTGAAAAGATGCATAAATTGTATTTTTGAAAAAACAGTAAAATATAATAAATCACAATAAAATTATTCTGAAAAACATCAAAAAATACAACATCAACAGTAAAGGCATGACGGTGAGGGAGGAAGTGACAGAGAGAAAGAGGCAGCGGGGGGGGAAATATCACAACACGTCTTCCTCTTTATGCTTCAATCTCATCTCAGCGTTAACTCATAAGAGGAAGAGGCCAGGGTGACACATGACAGAGCGTTTACACAGTGTTACGTATATACAGCTCTAACTATCAACATATCCTCCATACCATGATAACCCGCATAAATCCAAAACAGTGGCAGGCAAGCACAATCTATAACATCATAATAATGGCAACGTGCTTTGTGCTCTCAGAGAACTTTGCTGATATTTTATATCCTCGTGCACTATGAATGGCGCAATTCTAATTTCTTTACACACAGGAAATTAAAGGCGGGTTTCAAATGCCAGCAGGATGCAGATCACAAGCAGCTGCGCACACTTGAACTTGTAATGTTTTATCAATGTCCAACATAAACCTTTTTGACGGTATATGAAGCCACAGTTAGCAGCCTGGTCCGTGGTTAGGGCAGTGAAAGAACTTTGGCCAGTCGTGTCCAGAACCAGGCCTGAGTGCAGGGCCGGGTGTAGTCGCACACGGTGAGGAAGCGCAAGATGCTGGGGAACGGCTTTTTCATCGGCTTGTACACCACTGGGATAAGTCGTTTCTGTTGGGCTCCTGTGAAGGGAAAATGAAGTAAAAGTAATTTGAATTTGGATATGCAAAAGCAGGATGGAGCCGACGACAACTCAACTTACCAGGACAGAGGCTGAGAGCAAACTTGGTCTGAAAGTCACAGGCATCGCTGTTGAGGTATTCATCAGAAATCACCACCACCATCCTCTTACACCTGCACAGATGGTCACATGCATTATGCCAGAAAATAAGGAGAGTTTCAGCAAGTTGGCTTTGGGTCGGGTCACTGGAAACTGATTTCTTTCTCTCAAGCAAACTTCTCCATCTACATTTAAATCGATTATTATTAGTGAAGATCAGTTTTTCACAAAGCCTGAAACTTTAATGTCTTTTGTATTTCTGAACATCACATTTGTATTTTTTTCTTTCACACAGACAGTGGAATATATTCTGTCGACTGGAGATGGTACACATCACACGAGTCCTGCACGGGTCAATTTTTGCAAACCCGCAGATCTCCGTACTGCAAATCCGACCCGTTGCCCGAAATGATCTCCAAGTCAAATCTGTTTTGTTAACACAGGCCTGACACGGTCAGCATGTGTGTATAACCCACCTCCTCTCAATGAGCTCGCTGGTGATGGTCCACACGCAGGAGCCTGGGAGGACGTCTCTGTCGAACACACACAGTTTCAGCCTGTAGTCAGTCTGCTCCAGCTCACGGATCATCTCGTGGACAAATTCAAAGTCGCTCTGGCAGTAGCAGATGAAGGCATCAAACAGCTCAGGTGCACCTGGAACCAGTTTCATTTCATTTAAGTTTAGTTTATTTTGTTAAAGATCAGTGTTACACAACTCAAGACAACACCTACACATGATAAACTTGTTTTAAAGATTTTATTCCACAGAGCTGGAATAAATCTATGTCACAGAAATAAAATATGAGCATCAAACGGAAGCATGAAGAGGGAGATGTAGTGCTGCAGTGGTGCGGATGTGTGATCACAGCTTCAGATCACTGGTCAGATTGGAGTTGGAGCTTTTCCTGTACGTAACTTAACATAGAAAATTGTGCTGCTGTCACAATGTGAAGCAAAAAAACAGCTATTGTAAAAGCATCACATAGTTATAGTCATTTTTAAATTGTTAGATGTGTGTGTCATTTGTGAGAGAGAGAAACAGAAGATATTCCTTACAGAAAGACGTATCCTGAAAAACCTGAAAAAGTAATTATAGTTATTCACTGTTCCACTTTTAACTTGTTTCAGCTGATATGCATTTATGAACATTAATCCTTCTTTCTTGGTATTGTAGTAGATGCATTAAGCTGCGTAAAAGTACCTTAAAATTGTACTTTATACAGTACTGTAGAAAAACTACAGATATTTCCACCACTGTTCATTGTCTCTGACCAGAAAAAAATAAAGATACTATGGTGAGTAGCTGACATGTGTATATGTGTTTAACCAGTGACAGTGCTTTCTAGTATTGCTTATACATAGATACTGACCCTCGAGGTTGTCCTCCAGGGTGAGGCCATGTCTCTCAGGGGTGCGAGGGACGCAGCTGTCAACAATATGAACCTGGAGTGGGAGATTAGCCATCCTCTCAAGGTACCTCCTGACATCCTCATCTGATAAAGAGGAAATGAATGAATATGGTGCATGTGAACATAGAGATTATTACAGCTGGCGTGAAAATAATTATCTTGAAATATGAAAAAAAAAAACTGGTTAAAAGACATCATGTTATTGTGTTGTCACTGGATTTTATGTTACAGCAAATGAATGGAAGGTCCTTCCTCTGGCCCTCAAGGTTAAAAACAGGTTGTGTGAATTAAGAGAGGTTGAGAATGAATCACATTTTCTTCTGTACTGTCCTTATTATGATGAGTTAAATAAAGAACCTAATATAACATGAAAAGTTTGTTCAAATGTTCTGGTGCGCTGGTGATGACAGAGTGGAATGGTTGTTTAATCTTAATGCTTATAAGTTTGGTTTAGGTTTCTAAATCTTTACAAAAAATCTTAAGATCCTTTATTTGTTTATTATAGTTATTGAAATTGTTTCTTAGTACACACACACACACACACACACACACACTACCTCTTTTTACGATGAGGAAACTCATTGTAATCATTGCTTGGATTTGTTTACTTCTTTATTTATGCATTTAGTATTTCTTAATTTTTTTGTTTGTCTTTATGTCAGTTTGTCTCATGTCCCTTGACTGTTGTACTTGTCTCCACTTGTTTTGTTATTGCACATTGAAAAGATTAAAATGGAAGTAAATAGGAAACAGTTTAAAATAGTTTGCATGACACCATAATACAAATCAATCATCATTACGTTATATTTATATTTCTTTAGTCATATCACCCAGGCCTATGTGAAAGATACGTCTGCTTATTAATAGATTATAATATAATTACACAGCGAGTGTGAAGATGATGGAGACATGTGACTAGTTTCCGGTACAAGGTACAGGATGAACATGCGATGGAAATAACCTTAATCCATACATTTCTATGTAATCTGATTATAGTGATTTTAGTATACACGTGTCAGTAAAACGAGTTTCCAGAAGAACTTTAAATCACCGATGGCGGAGCGCAGATCCTCCAGGATGTCGTTTCTCTCCAGCTTCTCCAGGATGCCAAGCAGCTTCCCCACCGTGGCGTCTTTGGAGCGGGCCTGCCACTCGTCCAGCACCACCGCCGTGGGGTTCAGACGCGCCTCGAAGTTCTTGATCTCCAGGTAGCCGAAGTCGACCTTCTCTGCCAGCGCCTTCCAGTCCGAGGCCACGGCGGTCCTGGGGTTCAGGAAGAGCCCCAGCCTGGTCCTCACCGTCACGTTCAGCGCCGTGAGAGGAACCGTGCACAGGTCCACTTTTGAGTCTGCACAGGCCATGATGGTGAAGGTGGAGGTTTGTTGTGATTAGTTAAAACAAGTAAAAAGTTGTCATTGTCAGCAGGAGGAAGTTTCTTCAGTGGTGAACAGTCTACCTGACAACAAAACCAGGAAGTGATGTCAATCGGTCTGTGCGTAAAAGTGCGTCACACGTGGGAGGAGATGGTAATTGTAACTTTGTTTTTACGCACCGAAGCTGCAGCTCTTCGACTGGATCACCCTTCAAACTCACCAGTGTTATCGCGATAGAGATCAGATGAGTGGAAACTCACATGAAATGTACGCTAACAGAGTTTAAGTGTGTGCAAACAGAAACTTTCCCACAAGATTTAAAACTGAATTGTTTATCTTGTAAGGGAGGTTTTTTTTTTAACTACCTTGCAAAACAAAACCACATGACAAACTCATGTTTACATGTTTTATTCATCTTTAAAAAGCAACACAAAGTAACGTGTGTGTCTGAAAAACAAACAATTATGCGTAGGAACAGGCATAAGAAAAGAATCTGTATGAGAACACAACACGGATCATTTTATCCGATCCACTGCGTCAAAATAAAACCACAGTGAAGGAAACTGCGAACAGTCACATTTTTGTGAAGAAATAAAAACATAAATATAAACCAGCCAAGTTCAGTTATTCAAATATATAAGGAAACATTCATTTCCTGAACCCCTAATAATGTCCCTCCACAACAGTCCAGGTTTGCACCAATGGGACTTCCACCTCTCGAGCAGCATCCATGTGTTCAGTAGTGTTCATTCTGTGGCTCATCACAGGTTCTTGCTTCTGGAGAAATAGAAATCTATGCCTCTGTCCCGATGCTGTTTGGGGGTGTGAGACTGGCCTCTCTTTCCTCTGGGTGAAGGCCCTGTGGCACTCTGGGAAAAACAAAAACATTTGACCTTATTGTGAAGCTTCAAATGACGATAGAGACAAAATATATAAGTAGAATAAATAAAAACGGTATTATCAGCAAAATATTTTTGATCTAACATTTTAAAAAAGTATTGCTGATGTGATGTGATTTAGTTCAACATTAGAGCTCTGATATATCTGCATCAGTGGATACAGCATTTTACTGTTGCAGCTGATATATACAGTTTGTCTAACAGCTCCCTATCAAGTGGTTTGGGTCAAGATAAATCAGACGGGTTGTGGGATAATTAATGAGGGAGGGAAGATAAAAAAAACAAAGTTCTTAAACACAAGTTTGTATCTAAGCCATCTGGGGTTTTCTCTAATATTTGCTTTGTTGTGAAATACTGGATAATTTGACCTGTTTGGACTTAAGTTTGTACTTAATGCATTTGAGTAAATGTACTTAAAGGTACAGTGTGTAGACTTTTGTGATATCTAGTGTTGATATTGCAAGTTGCAGCTGAACACCCCTCACCCAACCTCCTATCATGAAAAAGAAACTGTGGTAGCTTCAGTTGTCATAAAAACTCAAAAGGTGTTTAGTTTGTCCAGTGTGGGTTACTGACATGTCGGTCTCTGTAGAGAGGGTCCCCTTGATGTAAATATAAAGTATTTAAATATAAAGCGCCTTTTCTGGGGTCAAGAAAACTACAATTCAGAACATTTAGATGAAAGGAACTAGTGAAAACATCATGAGGATTATTCTACATTAAACTTCTGCAATAGTTCCCTTTCACCTAAATCTAACACACTGGACCAGTAAAAATAGCTTCAGCCGCAACAGCATGCAATCACACTATCTACTTCCTTTTCCCCGAACACCCACCGATTTCTTGTTAACGTGTCTGTTCCATTCAGGCGCCATGACGATGGGAGAGGGGTAGGTCTCATTGAGGGACACGTGAGCATGTGACAGTGCAGCAGGGCTGAGGGTCCAGGGCATGTGCACGTCAGATCCCCTGATCTCCTGCAACTCTGGAATCCACTGCCGGACGTAGTCCCCCTGAGGCAGACGCAAGCAGAGCAACAGTTAAGAAATGTTGAAATGGTGGTGGTTTTGATCACAGACACCTGAGCCCAATCTCGGACATTTTGTGTTGTAATGCAAACAATGTCAAAAGTATTTAAAGAAAATTGAAATAAACATATAATGATTCTTCTGAAACTTACATTATTGTCATAGTCGAGGCCTTGTTTGATCATGTTAAACTTCCTGTTCTCTCTGGGATCATTTCCAATACCAGCACTGTACAGCCAGTTGCCATAGTTACTGCAGACGTCATGGTCAATCTATAAAGGACATTTTTAAATGATGAAGCCCATATTTATACACAAAAACAAAAGGACTGAAATGTCTCACAACATAAAAACAATCAAACTAAATAAGAGATGATGAATAAATATACATCTTCACTTAAAACCTGGACTGCACTTCTTACCAGAAGATATTCAAACCACTCGGCTCCCATCCTCCAGTCCAGACCCAGATCCTTTGTGAGGAAGCTGGCAACATTTTGTCGCCCCCTGTTGGACATGAAACCTGTCATGGCCAACTCCCTCATGTTGGCATCCACGAAGGGCACTCCTGTGTGTCCCTCTGTGAAAATCAAATCAGTTACTTCAACAAACAGTACTATTCATACACTTGACATTTCTAAAACCAACTGAATGTTTTAATTATCATTAGTTTATGAACAAAGATGAGGGGAAACACAGTACAAACCTTTCCACGCATTGAAAAGCTTCATGTCTTTTTTCCACGGCACAGATTTCTCTTGAAGTCCTGAGGTAAAATAACACTGATCGTCAGCTTTACATTCATTGATTGCGCGTTCAGAAAACAGGCGGAAAACTTGAGCTAACGTTACCTTTGACCTGAAACAGTCTGTTTCCGTACTTTACGCCCACAAACTTGAAGTAATCCCTCCACAAAAGCTCAAAAATCACCCTGTAAGGCAGCAGTGAAGACAAGTTATGACTCAGCAGCAAAGATTTTATTTCCAAATTGCAAACTAATGTTGACATATTACTGCAGAGACAGCACCTGAACATAGATTTTCAGTGGAGTTATTTTAATTGTTTCGAAGTCTTGTCGTCCTCCAGACTCACCAGTATGTGCTCTGATTGGCTGTCCGCTCCCTCTCATACTGCTTGATCTGGTGATAAATATACCTGGGTGAAATGCAACCTATCGCCAGCCTGCAGAATACCAGAGGAGCACCATTAGAAATGCAGTTTATTGTATATTAACAAGCAGCAGGCACTTTGTACAGGGATGGGGGGGTGCCATCCCCTATATGTCATCCCTTCTGGGCCATCCCCCATCTCCAAGAGAGAGTGTGCTGCATGTGCAGGTAGAGAATCTATGTAAGGAGGTGATGATCCTGTAGTTAATGCACAGCAGAGACCTGATCAGAGGCACAGTAATTACCGGCAGCAAAAAGAACAGAGGGACAGAACTCAACAACCAACAAGCAAACAGTTCTCTACACAGGCCCCCCACACCCCCACCCAGCAGCTCCAGTGGTTAATCATCTGGAGATACCCTCCCAAGTCTGATGAAAAACCGTTGATGTATCATTTTGTACACTGCAACAAAGGTGTTGGCTGGTGTTGGAAGTGTGTAAGAGCGGTTGTGGGCGACCACCCCCTCTGGTAAAAATGTACAAATTGCCTGCTGTTAAAAAGAATTACTTGCACAGAATGTTTGACCCTAGTCAGCATTGAGCAGAAGAGGAAATGAAACACTCACCAAGGAGCAAATTTAGTTGAGTAGTCCACACCGATCAAGCCGTTACGAGTCTCCTTATAGGTTGCAACTGCATCCTACAAAACAGGCAACAACAACTGTATTTACTTCAGCTATCCACTAGATAATACTTTAGCATTGGAGGGTTTTTTATGAACAATTGTCCATTTTTAACTGATGTTGTACTTACAGTGTCCCAGAAATAGTGTTTGAGTCTGGCCAGAGCCTGACTCTCACCACCACTACAGGGGAAGGCTGAGCGAGGATCAGTCAGAGGCTCTATAGGAATAAGATGGAACACCATTTCAGTATCAGATTGCTTCATTCATGTTAAATGCTCCCTTGCGTACATTAAGACACACAGGATCATAAAAGCTTAATCATGTACGAAGAAATCGAGGGAGTCCACTCGCCAGGACTTAATGAGGAAATTTGTCCTCAGCAGTTTTCCTATTGAATCTAGAAAATTGCAGTATGGATTTACTTAATAGAGGTATAAATTGAAGAATGTATTTTATTTATTTATTTCCAGCAGCATGTTAAGACATTTGCACAAAAATCTATTTAATAAGCACATAAAGAAAATGTATACGACTTAGAGCTGGTTTGATCATTTCAGCAATTTCACTGTAAATGAAGACACAAAGAGAAACTGCAAGGATTACACTATGAATCCAACTATTTGTATTGATCTTAAGAAGAAGTTAGGATGTTCACCTGTCTGCTGCAGGTCCTGTGCTGTGGGTATGGCTCCTTCATCCAGCCCTGGAGGAAGAGGATTCAGCTGCTCTGGGGCTGGAAACACAGGCCTCACTCTACTCCGAGACTCCACTGCCTTCCTGAACTCGGTGTACACATCAGGCAGCCTAACACACCGGGAGGAAAGGTTAATAGACATCCCCAGCACCAGGAGCGTTGGGGTCCCCAGGAAAAATAAACCTGGGGGGCTACAGTTTAACCATTTATAAACTGTACTTTTTTCAATTTCCTCTCCATTTCAAGAAAATGCCAAAAACTTTACTTCATCAAGCAGCGTCCTCTCTCACCTTGACATGTGGTGAAATGGAAGATCTTCTCTGTGGTGCAGTGTGGATCCCCAGCAGGTGTGAACTTTGACCTTCATCTTTGCACAGACGTCCCTCACCTTCTTCTCCACGTTCAGCTCCTCTGAAGTTACCTGGAGCAAATGAAGGAAAAACAGTGTCAGAATCACCAGGACGTGAAATAAAGTTGTGATTATCAATGTCAATAAGTGAAAGACGTGTTCAAATACCTCTTCGTGGAAAACCACAGTGCTGACAGAGCCCAGCTGCTTGATGAGCTCGGCAACCACATCTTCTGGTTTCCCCCGTCTCACTACCAGGTTGCTGTTTGTGTGGGAAAAAATTGAAATAAACACACAGACACACAAATACATGTAAGTCCCATTTCACACCATGCCAGGCAAGCTGCATCCTGGGTAGAGAGCTACCCCTACATTGCCCGGAAAAAATTGTGCAGATTGGAACACATTGTGCAGTAGCCAATTTTATTTTAAACATAACGTCCTATAAGCACAGGTGCATCCTGATTCTGTTATTTCTGTATCAACAAAAAATCGGAGACAGCAGAGGAAGTCTATACACTCAGTGTGTGTACCATTATGAATCATTTTAATCCCATTTTTAAACACATCAAGTTGTTTCAATAGGACAGATTTGAACTGAGGCTTTAAGTCAGTGGATGTTTAATTACCTGCCCTTATTGAGCAACGTGTTTCTAAGGTCTCTGATGCTCTCCAGTAAGAAGCGCAGCCGGAAAGGTCCAGTCTTCGGTAGGTTGTAGTTGTACGTTCCCACATAGTGTCTGGGGTCGAAGCAGTAGAGCGGGACAATGTGCTCTGCATTTCTTTGAGCCCAGTGGAAAAGCTGCATGATCAAAGAGACAGAAAACACAAAACAAACCAGTTTTTATACTTCAGATATAAGATGCTGCAAATGTTCCCATCACCCAAAAACTATTGTTAACACGATAAATGTCATGTTATCGTTTTAAATTGAAAGACTGATTTTTTTGCTCCGGAGTGAGGGTTTAAACTTATGGGCAGAGAATGAAAAAAACTTGATGACCAGCAACACATATTACAAATTCAAACTCCTCACTGTACACGTTTGTTATATTGCTAATGAAGACAAATAAAACGCAATAATAATCTATATCGTTTTGTTGCCCAGCCCTACAGGAAATGCATTTTCCTCTGATACTACTTTATTTGGAGTATTCCTAGTGTCAAAACTTTATAGATAAGAGTACAATGTACAAGGGATCTCACAAGAAGTAGTATTTGAAATATATTTAAAAAGGAATACAATAACCTAATGGACAACCCCCAAGCTGTTCAACTCCCAAACAAATACACAAATACATACAAGAGTAAATTAATGAATAAATAAAATAATCAAGAAAATAAATATATTACATAAGGACAGTGTTGAGGTTGTCAAGTTACCACAATGTAATGAAAGTATTACGTAGTTTATTCTGAAAAAAGGTTCCGGAAGTCGTGCATGTTGAAGTCACCATTACGGCTCAGAGAAGATCTGGTGACTTTTTACAAACCTGTTTGGGACTAAATTTAAAATGGAGGACAAAACAACAAACTTATTGTGTTTTTTAAAGATACATTTAAATATTCTGGTGATTTACGTTCGAAATGGAGGCTTTTATTCCCAAAGAGCTGAACCGGATGCCTCATTGTGGTTGCTGCGAACAAAACAAAATGGCTAAAAGCAAAACAGCACATTTCCTATAAAACACGCTTTAAATGTTGAAACGATGGAAACAGAGCAAGTTGAGACTCATCTCCAGCAGCTTCATTCACTCAGCAGTCAAATACTTGATGTTATTATTATTAAATGAGTTTAAATGACGTCGGACATGATGAACACGTGAACAGACTCAACAGATTCACTCTTTCACCTCGTTGTCGTGGAGCCTCAGGTCGTTCCTCAGCAGACAGATGATGGTGCGGGACACAGACATCATCACCTCACTGTTGTTCTGGTTGTTCAGGAAACACGGACGAGGCTGCTCGTGTCACAGGGTCGAGTCCTCCTCTGTGTGTGTGTGTGTGTGTGTGTGTGTGTGTGTGGCTCCCTCACAGAGCCGCTGTTACAAAACGTCGGGTTTTGTAACGTGGTTTTCAAACAGCTGTGAGCTGAGTGTAAATACACTCACATGGTGTTGTTTATGATTTTAAATCGTGTTACATGCTGTTTACATCTTCTTTTATATATATATATTTCAATTTCAAATTCTTTCTTTTTATACTTGAGCTTTTATTGATATTTTCTAAAATGTTTAGGATCATATAGAAAAAAACACTATTTTGGATACAACTACTTCAGTTCTTTCTTTTATTAGTAGCTGACCAATAAAGACCAGTGCCATCAATTCAATCAAAAAGTAAAAGTAAAATGTGTATGCTCTTATTTAGTACGTTAGTCTATTATGAATCTGTAATGGACCCCAAAGAGAGGACCAAGTGTGATATTAGTTAGTTTAGCTGAGCTCATTTAAGTAAAAGCTCAAAGTATTTAGTTTTCTTTTGTGAGGAGAAATATGAAGAAATCCAGTTTTAAAGCAACACTATGTGACTTTTGCTATGCAACAGCGCCCTCTGCAGTCACATGTGGTGATTGATTCTGTTGGGCTCCTTGTCCGATCAATTAATTGTTTTCCATATGGAGTAAAAACAAAGTCCATCAATTTGAGCTCGTATTACTAATTCTTAAAATTTGATTGCCTTAATTTTCTTTCTTTTACATTTGACCATATTTATTAATAGTAGAAGACCTGTACCAAACTTGCAATGCTAGTTCCATTCAGTGGTTTTTGCGTAATCCTGCAGACAAACAAATGGATAGACGTGAAAACACAACCTGGTAGGTGGAGGTAATAATGAGTAATATCACTTTTCAAAAACGTGAAGTGACATTTTATCACAGGACGACTGAATAAAACCACACAGGAAATAGTCTTAGACCTTTGATTTATTAAGTTAAATGTACAAAAGATCAATGACATGATACATTTCATGTTTCAAGGCTTTGTCATTAAGACAAAACAGACTGTCCCAATCAAAAGCCTCCCAGCCTCGTCATACTGCCGACCAGCTCTCAAAGCGACAATCATACATCCTCCTGTCTAAATCACAGTACAATCTACTGTATAACGTAGTTATTTCATCAAATAGATTTGTATATAATGTAAAAGAAAATTTCATACAAAAGTGCAGAACAATATGTATTTACAGTATAATCTTTTTTTTTTTCTCCATATAAAAGAACTTCAGCAAGTCTTGTGTGTGCTCTCTACTGAACGACTGCTCGTCTTATTAAGAAGCTTCCCGCTTTGGCAGTGAACATTTGTGTTTACAAGCAGATTCAGATAAGGCACTGGCAAAGGTAAAATAAAAAAAGATTTGATTTTTCTTTTTTAAGTGCCACTGTTATTACAGCAAGCCCCCCCGGTTGGTTTCATCTCATCTCCACTTTAAGGAATACAGCATTTAGCCCTGTCTGTCCAACCCCACTTACATTATGCTTCATCTCAGATGGCGTGACACCGTTCAGACCTGGTATTAACGTCCATCCTGAGCCATCTGATCACAAGTAGTAAATGCTACATAATGCATCCTTAATGCGGATCCTATCACTCTGACCACATACAGAGGTGGTCTGGGATGCATGTGGTCTTTTTGCTGTGTGGTCCTGGGCCACATACGAAGTGCGGCCGGCGCCTACTCAGCTGACGTCCTCGGACCCGTCACAGTTTCACGATGAACTAGCATAGCCCTCATGACCTCACATATCTTCATCATAGCCCAACAGTTTTCTTAAATTCAACCAAGCTGCACCAACTTTCACACACTCATAGATATCACTCCGCTAATGTTTTCATCCTGATCCATGAAGTATTTCCTGGGAAATTGGTGAAGATGTCGAAAAAAAAACTTCTTGCATTGTCATACAAAGTGTCCGAAAAAATCCTGGATCTGCACCAACCTCTAAAGGTTCCTTTTGTGATCCATACCACATTTATCCACCAAGTTTTGTGTTAATCCATCCAGTAGATTTTATGTAATGCTGCTAAATAAAAATCGAACAAATGCTGATGAGAACATAACCTCTTGAATGATCAATACTGTTTTCAAATAGTTAAACTCTTTCTTCATAGTATTTCTGTGCGCAGCTCATTGATTCACTTCGTCCCTCCTGACTTTGCTTTGTCCCCTTTCTCTCTCTGCTCTCGCTCACACCAGCACGGACAAAAAAGCACAGACATTGTCATAGTTCACGTCTGTAAACTCAAACGGGTAAGAACAACATAATTTGGTCTTCATGAACAGAAAGGAAGTGTGTGATTATTTGCATATAGAGCGGGGAAGTGTACTCCGATCACAGGAGACACGTGCAGACACATTTTAATACCACATGTGAACAGAACTTAGCGCTGTGACCGGATCTGTCAGGACAGATGTTGTTACCAGGTCTGAGCGGCTCTATAGCAAGGTGTGCTGTCATATGGTCATTAATTGACTCATTTATATAACGTGACAAGCAAAGTAAAGGCATGGAGGTGACTGGATTCATATCGACACTACGAAAGTAAAAAAAATAAAACTGTAAATGAGAAGCTTCCTTCATGCTGATTTCATGATCTTTTTTCTTTTATAGAAACACAATGTGATGTCGATGCGTCTGATTTGGTCTGTGCAGTCTAATTTGCACAAAGCTGCCATAACATAGAAAAAGGCTATAGGGCTCTGAGGTGACAGAACGATCCGTCGTGACTAACACTGTACATTAACTCAGACTCATGTTCACGGACAGCTTCTGTCTCTGCAACGTTTCTTTGGCCACGTCTGAATGGAACAAGGCTCGCTGCAGGGGACGCCGGAATGGATGTCACAGACTCCAGAACAGGAGTGTTGGTATTGCTTAACAGACATTGCACACTAATACAAAAGTTTGGTTCTTTCTTCTTTTTTTTCTTTTTTTTTTTTTACATCAGAACAAACTACACAACTTTTTTTTTACTAAGTTATATGAAAATCCATCAAATAGAAAAATAAGTCCTCGGTTGATTATCTTGCACGTTGGAAACGTCTCAATGCATGATATCAAAAGTGCAACGTTGACTGTCCTTCTACGTGGGGCTGTGAGTGCTATGAAAATATTGTGATGTGAACCTCTAAGATGTTAAAAAAGACATTCTTACTTACAAACTCTTATTGTAAGGCGTTGACGAAAATACGTTTATATTTGTTTTTAGGCGTCCACCCACATAGAATAGAAAACTCTTCTGCTAAGATGACTTTGTATGTGTCATATAAAAATAGTTTTACCATCTTGGTTTCACTCACAGCTAACGTAAGACTGGTGAGTAACTTACAGTACTATCAGATGAGATCAGTGTCACCAGTAAATCACGATTACGTGCCTGGCCGATCCAAGACACTGTTCTGCAGCAGTAGAGTGTGAAGACTCAGAATATGTGAGACATCGCCTCTCTCTCTAACTCAGGTCACTTTTCCTGCTCTTGATAAAGGACAGCAGTCTCTGCAGTTCGTGGGACTGCTAAGTGCTTTCTTGTCAGTCCTGTCCTGAGGGAACTCGCTGCGATGCCTCGGAGGACTCTGGAGGTCTGACAGCAGTCAACCTGGCCTCTCTGTGAATAATCCTGGTTGAGCTAGTTGGTGAGAAATGCAGGGGTCCCGACAAGGCAGACACTGGTGATAGACGACAGGGCAGGAAGTTGGAGTGGTGCAGAGCCCTGGAGCCTGGTGACAGGGTGGGAGGGGGCGCCCTGGGGACGGGGCGGGCCGGGCCTGGAGAGGAGGGGAGGCACTGGGGCCACGGAGGCCTCGCAGGCAGGGGAGGGGAGGGGGGTCCGCAGGCCTCAGAAGCAGCCCTGGACGAACGGGTGGCTGAGCAGGACATCTGCAGTGGGCCGCCACTTCTCCTCCACAAACACCTGCCGCAGGTAGTCCCTGCAGGCGTCCGACACGCCATCAGGAAGCACGGGTTTCGTAGGCTGGGTGGCGATCTTAAAAATGGCTGCCATGGCCTCATACTCAGCCCAAGGAGGTTTCTGGGTCAGCATTTCCACAACCGTGCAGGCAACACTCCTATAAACATAAAAACCATCCAGCAGAGTCAGTTAAATGTCACAACATCTGTTAGTGTACAATATAATCATACTGCCATGAAATATAAGTTTACATGTAGTTTAATTGTTTATATCTATTTATATAATAAGATATTTGTAGTACTCTGCTGCAAATATGCAAATGTATTTAAAATGTATTTGCACAGAATTTGTTCTACATTTAGGATACAACGTTCTTTGTAAAAATTGCCATAAAGAACCGTATCTTTATAAATACATATATTACACATGCATATTCATGTGTCCCTTTATAGATGTGGCATTCCAATAAAGTGCCAACAATCCACACTTCTTTAACACAGCTGGAATTAACATTATATGCTATTTCTATTGCATTTACACATTATTTTACTGTAGTTCATGTTGATTTATTCACCTCTGCCCAGTATTGACATGTTTAAAGTGATTTGCTGACATTAAAACCTCCCAACTGTTCCCACTGCGTTTATCGCTTTGCCACCCAACTGTAGAAATACTTTTACTGTGTACTTTTGTGCCTCAACAGTCTAACGTCCCCTTTGGGCCTCGTCACAGTTCCATTCCTTACCATACATCAGCTTTCCGGCCATACCCCTCCCCGTTGATGACTTCCGGGCTCATCCAGTAGGGGGTGCCAGTGACGGACTTGATCCCTGTACCAGACATGCAGATGGTCTGGATGCGTTTGCTGGCTCCAAAGTCTCCCAGCTTCACATTCCCCGAGGAGTCTCTCAGGATGTTAGCACCTGGTGGTACGACACAAAGTTCCGCTCAGAGTTATTGAAGAGTCTCTCGAGTGCCGTCAATATCCTTTTAGGGTTACCCTGACAGTTCGGAGGTTCTATAAATGTAGTTGGCCATTACGGTGTGGTTATAAAGTGCCTGTGCCAGCACTTTAACTGACAGACAGAGGAAAGTAAACTTTTCCTATGGTTTGACAAGTGTGGGGTTACGGAACTCTGGGAGACTAATTTTAAAAAATGCTAAATTACACCTTTTAGCAAACTTCATGTAAACACTTCACTGACTCAACTCTCCAAACACTGAAGTTTATCTTTCTTTCACTTTTCCCTCTGATTTACACCAATTAGTAAATAAAACGCTGAATAAACAGTTTACTCTGCACTGATCAAGCCCCAACTTTCTTCTGCCGCCTTCCTCAGTAGTTTTCCAACATGTAACAGTGTCTTTCCCATTTCCTGCAGACGCTGTTTGATCAGTGACTAATGTCCACCACTCTCACTCTACACCCAGTGCAGGACAGAGGGGTGTAGAGAGGAGATCCAGATAAAAATGGAAAGCTGCAATCCTCCACTCTTCACTTCTTCAATCACATGTTTCCACTGCCTGATCATTTGTTGTGAGAATGGGAGACTCTCTAATAAATCATGTGAACTACATGTAAGGTTTTTTTTGGCACTCGGGAACGTTGCATTTAGAAACTTTAGAGTCTAATGTCGTGGCTGGGATGCCAAGCTCAAACCACATATGCTGACAGTTCTTTTACTCCTTACAGAGCAGCTCTTGTGAGGTGAGATGAGCACGCAACAAAACTACAAGAAGAGCATTTGTAAGTGAAAGATGATCCCACCCACGTATAGTCCCATAGAGGCCAGCTCTGTCCTGTGAGACCTGCTGTACTTTTTCCCCACCAGTCAGTATATTTCCCTCCCGTTGGCCGTGGCTGAACGAAGCGGTGACTCCCAGACTAAAGCCTTTCCATCCGCTGATGAACATTTTTAGATCGGCTGATTTCACCAGCATGAAGCCTAAAATATCTCAAAGGGGAGTTCAAAATAGCACTTTTTTTTCCAGACTGACTGTAGATGATGAAAACCCAAATGAGGAAATGTCACGGAGAGTAAAATTAACCTGTAGTTTTCTCAGATCCGGTCGTTGCAACATGAAGCATCAAGATGTCTCATTGTCTGTTGTGTGGGTGTGTGTGCTGGTTACAAATCCAAAGAAGGCCCCGTCCAGACCTGCTATTAACATCCACCCTGAGAGATCCATTCACATGTGGACAACGTTAAGTCTGTCTGCTATCGACATTAAAATCCGTCCTGAATGTGTCTCATGTCACCGCTGGTGATCAGATCTCAATTCCCTGATCTATATGCAAATAATCATGTATGTCATTTGTGTTCACGAACACTAAATGAAGATGTTGATAACAATATTTGGGTGTGCCTGTGTCAGAGAGGGATACATAGAAAGGGAGTGAGTGGAGTCTGGACAGGCTGAGATTATCAATGAGCTGCAGATCTACTCATATTATGGCGGTGACCACAAACAAATCAGCGTATGGTCACTGAGAAGTGTAAAAATATGTGATTCATCGTGACACCAGTGGTTCAGAGGACGTCAGCAGAGTAGGCGGGCCTTTATATGTGGCCCAGGATGCAGACCAAAATAAGAATCAGGAGGTGTGTTCTCTAACGTCCTTCGGGTTGTTTCACTCACCTTTAATGTCTCTGTGTACAATCATGTTGCTGTGCAGGTAGGAGACTCCTTGGAGGATCTGTCTGGTGTATCTCCTCGTCACCTTCTCCGTCAGTGCCCCATAGGCTTTAAGTTGGTCCTTTATTGAGCCCTGGGGAAACAGAAATACAGAGAGAGAAACAGAAAGTCAGTGAGAGACTCAGGAAGGTTGAGAAAAGCTTTTATTATATTAACATTGGTTGTATTGTCTGTTTTTGAGCTCTGTGAGCGAAACGGTTCTGGTGTGATTTTAAGGAAAATGTGGTTGTTCCAGCTGAGGCAGATTTATTTTGTTTCACTGGGGAAAAGAAGCCTCTGAGCCAAGTTTTAAGTACAAACACCATGAATATAAACACACAACGTGCTGAAAGAAACTTGCTCGATTCTTAGTCCAAACACCTTCAACGTCCTGCATTTCCTTTTAATTTCCTGTTTTCATGTCCTCGCGAGGAAAACGACCTGATCCAGTAACACCTGTGACGCACTTTTGGACTTGAACAGCAAAAATGAAAAAAAAGCCCCCTCTTCAGTTTCAGCTGTCAACAAGACACCTCAACATCTCTGCTTGCCCCCCCCCCTCCTTCCACACCTCCTCTCCCTCAGGCCTCTAAAGTGTTATCGGCTGGCCGCAGCGGTGCAGCGGAGCCGAGCGCTCGCACACACAAACTCTTGGCTTTGTCACCTCCCCTCTCGCTTCTGCCAGCACTGTAGTGAAAACATAAACATTTCAAATTTCCAGACAATGTGTGACTAAGACACTCAATGCCACTCAGAAAAAAAATGCAGCCTAGTAAATATTAAAAACAGGCTGTGGGTCCACAGGCGACAGCAGCTCATTAAGGCGCTCATTTAGCGAGAAAATGATCTCATAAACTGAGCTGTTCTGCTGACATCAACCACTGAGGTGTTTGTTGACAGCTGGTGACATTTCAGAATTGGTTTTGAGCAGATGTGGCTGGTATGGGTTTGATTTGAGGTTTGTCTTAAAATGTCTCCACAGCCAAAAGAACTACAAAAAAATACGGGACATTCATCGACTTTTATTCATTATTGCAGCTCCATCCAACTTTCAGCACGACTATGTGACTTTAATATATTCAAATGCAGAATACGCACCCCAGGCATAAACTCAACAAATATGGTGAGTTTTTTCTGCTCCAGGTCCCGAAGACAACCGTAGTACTGAACAATCCGCTCATGACGCAGATTCTTCAGCAGCTGAATCTCACACTCCAGAGCATTCACCTCCTGCAGAGAAGAAGAGACACAGGAGCAAGTGTTTGAATCGAGAAATTCAGACTTGAACTTTAATTTTTAACCCATTACCCCCTTACGCTCTAAAATACAAGCAAAGCGCCACTTCTTCCAGATGTGAGCAGTTCCCTCTCACCTTGCTGGTTTCTTGACAGTCCGGATCAAACGGCACCTGCTTGGCGGCGAGCTCGTGTCCCGCGTCGGCGTCATAGCAGAGGTAGACCTCCCCGAACGCCCCGCGGCCCAGCAGCTTACCTTGTCGCCAGTTGACTGGTGCCCGTGGTGCTGCAGACACAAAACACCACATGATGAAAATCCACCATTCTTTTTCTTGCTAAGCTCTCACAGAGCAGCCAGATCCACTGTGATATACTGATCTGAGCAAACATTAAGTCTAAAGCAGGCGTCCAAATCCACCACAAGACCCCGATTGTAGCTCGCACAGTAACTTCACCGAGACCAGACGTCAAATCCACTGCAGGGGCGTTAAATTATGCCCACCGCAGACCCTCTCTCAGAGGGGGAAACCCCAGATATATGAGTCAAACCACGCTCAGTCGGGAGAAGATGTAAAACCCCAGAAATGATCATCTCAGCAACTCTCATCTTCACAGGCCCAGACTCAGAGACTTTGTCTTGGTATTAACAGGCTCTTTGTGGCCGCCGGGTTAGACGGTTCGGTCGTGTGTGGGTGAGAAGGACACTGAACTGACACGTCGACCGCAGACTGCGGAGCTGAGCTTTCTTTTCACAACAGAGAAAGTTTCTAACCCGTACACTGGAGGAGGACAGATGTGATGAGTGTGTCTGTGACGCAGCTCATTCTGGACGATAAGAGGGGGATTCTATCTGGTACCATGTACAGTGCGTCTGAGCGTTATTTCTGCTTCCTCTAACGGCCGTCGACTAAACAACTAAAACATGTTTGACAGAGTGTTTACTGGAAAATCTTGTTCTGTTTGACCCACTCTGACATAAAACATTAAAAACTCAGACATTAAAATGTTTGACTTGTTTAAATAACACAACTCACCGCACGTTTTCACTGATCAATCTTCCTTATTCCATGTCTGACTGGTTTTGTATTTTGTGGTGCATCTACTTTCCTCCACTTCTTTTATTCTTTATGTCCCTGGGGTGTTTGTGTGTATTAAATTCTCTTCCCGCCCCTTCTCTGTCCCTCTATTTCAAAGGATTACTCTACTCACACTTGGCCGTACCAATCTGGCAGCTCTTGTCAGAGGTGCGGCCCAGCGAGCGCAGGTCGCTGTACTGCAGCGTACTGTCTCCATTATAACTGCGTGTGCGACTGGAGGGAACCAGCTGAAACAGGTTCTCTTGTGGCATGAAGCTCCGGGGAAGCGTCCTGCGACCTGAAAACACACACATACAAAAAGAGGAGACACATTAATGACTTTACAAGCACTGGCCACTGCATCTTTTGTTGTTTCTGTGATTTGTTTTCAGTTTTCTCACAGTTACTTGTTACAGGTGCTGTGCATTTACTGAGCTCTCGGCCAAGACTCAGGGCCAGCTAGAGCGAGAGTGCCTCTCGCCACTCCGTCCCACTTCCCCTCAGACAGGAAGCAGGGCGCTGTGTTTTTATACAAGTTTGGGTTCACCACAGGGAAACGTAAATCATTGCTAGCCAAGGTTAGCCTCTGAGTAAGCAATTACAAGCAGCTGCCTAGAACAGCAAGCCAGCACTTTGTGTACCTCATAAAAAAAAAGTCAAAGGGGTCAACAATATCAAAAAATAATCTGGAAGAAGAATGAAGTAGAATGTGAAGAGGAGGCACTGAGAAGAATAAAATCCTCTACTATGTTTGTGAGGTTAAGAAAATCTGACCAGATGGAGGAATCTGCTGGTGGTGTGTGTTGTCTGTGTTGTCCTGTGTTGAACCATAGTAACAAATCTGTTTAATCTGTGTAACAGTAGTGTTGTTGTTGTTTCTTACGGTCTCCGTAATCCTTGCTGCGATTTGGCAACTGGAACTGGCGAGGGAAAGTCCCCCCTTTCCCGTGGCGACCTGGAGAGGGAGCAGTGAGGCAGAGCTGTCGGTTAGGGAAGCGAGCGAAGACTGAGCAGCTCACATCACAACTGGATTTCCTCAGTTTGCAGTCACAGAACTTCTCAGTTTACAGCCGTGTGTTGTTTTACAGATTCAATAATGCAGGATTGAGACGCATGCACCAACGTTTTGACGAGTGCTATGACAGAAGTTCATATTTTCGTGAACTTATCACATGTGGCAGACACTGCATTGCTTTGGCTCATCTCAGCATGTCAAATCAAAGTCGGGTTCAGAGGCGGCAGGAGGGAAGACCGTTTTTTCACACGCTGAACAGAGCGGTTGTATCGCCTCACTGCAGCCCAGAGAGACACCGAAAACAGCTCATGTGCACGAGCTTAGCCTCAGCTCTCAACCCAGTGGAGCAGTAAGTAAAGGCAGGTGGGGAGCACTGCTGACGTAGGCCAGAGCTGACACTCTCTCCCACACACACACACACACACACACACACACACACACACACAC